GAGGCGGGGGGTGGCGGAAACGGGGCAGCATCCCTCGAGGCTAACGGGGCGGCGGGCGGCGGGAGCGGCGGCGGTCACCACGACGGGAAGAACGGCTTGGGAGGGGCAGCGGGCAATAGAGGAGAGAGTGGGGGTGAGTCGGGGGCGGGGGGCGTGAGCGCGGAGGGAGAAGGGGGGTCGGCGAGAAGAAGATCGGAGGCGGGGGGGGGGGCCGGGGAGCTCAAGCTTGCGATGGCGGCGGGGAAGAAGGCGGGCTGCACGGCGGATGGTACCGCTGGGGGGGGAGAAGACGGGAGCGGCGGCGGGAATGAGGCCGGGGTGGGCGGCGGGGAGCAAGGAGGCGCTGCTCCGGAGAATGACGGGGGTGCCGGTAGGCGGAACTCGAGGGCCCCCATGACCGTGTTCACGAGGCATCAGGCCGCGCAGGACACGTACAACCCGCTGCTGTACGGCTGCCGGAGCGTGGACAACTATGAGCGCATCGAGTTCATCGACGAGGGCGCGTACGGGAAGGTGTACTGCGCGCTCAACAAGGCCACCGGGGAGGTGGTGGCGTTGAAGCAGGTGGGAAGGACGGGGGGGGGGCGGGGGGAGGGGGTGCTCTTGGTTTGCCCTGTGGTTTTTGAACGTTTGGTTCCCTCGACCTCTGATGTGTTTACGTTTTTGTAGTGCGACCAGTCCAAGACACGCTACCAAGCAGCAGCAACAGCAGCAGCAACAACAGCAGCAACAACTACCACCATTGCGCCAGAAGTCGCGTGCCGGAGATTTAACTTGCCGGCAGAGCATGTTTCGCTCTTTTCGCTCGAATGGAGGACGCACCTCCCCGCACGCAGACCCACGAAATCCAAATTGATTAGCGCTTCTCGCTGTGCTTGGTTGTCGATGCCCAGACTACTGTATAGATTGATATGGGTTGTCCATGCCATCAGGCCTTAGAAGGGCTGGTGGCGAGCTTTAGTGATGACACACCTTTGGTGAGATGCAAGAGAGAGTGACACACGAGAGCCCCCAAGACGATGAATCCCGCTTATCATCCAAGCAGTAGATGCATGCTCTAAATGATATCCAAAACACGGAGCTCCATTTCCCCGTAGTAGACCTATGAGACTACAGTGCCATTGGCCAAAGTCCACAAGACTCAGCGCTGTTGTACCGAGTGGACAGGCAGGCGACAACGTCTCATCAGAAGAATTACCGAATTGGTCGCGGTTATCCCTATTTAGACACGCAGCGCCCTAAATAGGCAGCACCTCGGTAAGAGGACGAAAGCGCGCACTGAAGGGAAGGGGGTTCTCGGCTCAGACGAATTCCAAAATGACAAAATCAGGATTTTTTTTTTTTTTGTATGCATATGATGTTCGTCTTCTCCGCACTCACAAGGGTATGGAGCCAAGCAATCCACTTTTTTGAGACAGACTCGAACGAGTCGTCTTTCTCTCCTTGATGGTGTCTGTGTGATGGTGTCTGTGTATTCTGAAGACCGCCCGCAAATCCCCGGCGGGTTATTCTGTGGAACCGAAAGAGAATAATCGTTTAGTTGTGCAATGAATGGATCGGGCGTATTCTGTGTCGTCGTGGGAGAGGGGGTGCTACTATGCGTCATTTTTCGGCATGGCTGGAATTGTGTCCTCAATCGATGCTGCCTCTCTCCTGTCGACGTCGGCTCGGCAGGCGAGCGAGTATCGTGCTGTTGATGCCATGAGGCTTGATGCCCGTAGGTTGTCGTTTGACCAGGCGCGCTCAAGGGAAATTGTTCGCCAGTTGAAAACACACAAGCACCGCTGGTGTTCCAGAGAGACGGTACTCCAACACTCACATCGATGGACAACATGTTTATTTCCTCGCTAGTTTGGCTAGGTGCGCCCGAAACAGGTTGTTGGCCAGTTGACACAAACACACGCACACCCACACATTGCTGGTGCGACAAAGCCAAGAGAGACAGCATTCCAACAAACAGTTCGATGGGCATGTTTATTTCCTCGCTCGCCATACATAAATGTATCCCCGCACATGCCAGCAGTTGCGAGGATGTGACTTCCGTCAACTGTTCTCATTTGGAGACCGTGGGGCGCCGGGAGGTTGAGCTTTGAATTGAAGGTGGCGACAGGGTCAACTTGCTGTTCGAGAATGAACTGCTGACCTCTGCTAGACGAACAATTTTTCTTTTAACATGTCATCGGCTTCAGATTTACCGATCCCTCCCCGCTGCACGAATACTGTAGAGCAGTTGGTACCGGTTGATATCCTCGCATTTTTTTTTTTGCATGAGGGGTGATCTGACGAGCGAGGCAATAAAGCATGTTGTCCATCGACGTGTGTTTCGGAATGCGTTACGTCTGGGCTTTGTTTGCACGAGTGGTGTGCGTACGTGTGTCAACTGGCGACCAGTAGGTTTTGAGAGCACGTGGTCGAGCGACAGCAAGGATATCACACGGCTGAGATGGCAGCACGGCAGTGCCTTGAGGGATATGCTCGAGAGCCCTTGATGAGCTCGCGACGGGCAGTGCTTTCTGCGCAGTCGATGGGTTTTGTCTGCGCGGAGGCAATTTCCAGGCACAAGAGCAATCAGTATGGCAATGTGAAAGCAGGAATGTGCAGCCCGAAATGTGGAGTGTGGTGATTTTCGACCAACCCTAAAAGCATGGAGGGGGGTTCAGTTGCATTCGGCGATAAGTAAGTAGCAAGCTCAACAAGACACGCAGCTCGGCGGCCACCACGGGAGTAACACGTGTACAGCAGCGGCTGCGGTTTAAGACAGGGTTGGAACAAGCCAACAAGGCTCCCTTAAATTCGGTGTTCCTCTCGAATAGTTCCTCTTAAAAAACCGTAGCCGCCACTGCTGTAGCGGCTCACATCCCTGACGGTGTATAGATTTCGAGGACTCCTGGGCGTGACGAAGTCAGTCAGAGCACGACCTTCCACTGAACCAGGTCGATTTCGTCGTTTCAGAATATGATGCAACAGAATAATAATGCCCCTGCCTCGAGGCACGGACAAGTACCGTCGGTGACTTGAGATACACACTCCCCGGACTGCTTTTCAAAGCTCGATATCTCCGCGGCAGAAAATAGCGGCGGTGCCGAAAATGATGACATCTGAACTGTCCCGTCGAGAGCTTTCCGAAAACGCACACGTTTGACTCATTCCCTTCGTTGTGTAGCAAAAGAGCAGTAAATCGATCCAGGGTTGCGTGCGTGCATGATATCTTGTGTCATCTGCGGTGTGCATCTTCGTCGGTAATCGGAACAACCGCCCCCAACTTCCTGCTTGCCGGCGACGTCTGTGTGGTGGATGGCACGCAACCCAAGCTGAGCATGCACGCGGGCTTTTTGATTTGACATGTTTTGGTAGATGCCTGTTACGTCTTTTACCGTTTCCTTTTTTTTCACCCGTTGTCTTGAGAAAGGATTCTCACGTGTAGGTCTGCTTTCTTTCTTTGTTGTTTTTGGCGTGTTTTGATGTGTTCGATCCGCTTTCCTCTCTTGTGTTGCGGGGACCACCGCCCCTGACGACGACGACAACGACCAACAGGTGAAGCTGACGAGGAACAACGGCAAGGAGGGCTTTCCGATCACCGCCCTGAGGGAAACCAACGTGCTGCTCAGCCTGCACAACCCCAACATCGTGCGGGTGCTGGAGATGGTGGTCGGATCCACCTTGGACAAGGTGTACATGGTGATGGAGTACTTCGACCACGACCTCAAGTCGGTGATGCGACATATGCGGCATCAGAAGGTCAGTCGACGCTCTCGTCCTCCCCCCCCCCACACACACCCGTTTTTCGTTTCGCATGTAAGCGTAATTGTACGGTAGTTAAGTCCTAGTTAATTTATTATCTTTCGGGCCGGGGGGGTGCGATTTGTGTCTTGTTGTTATTTTTGGTGGTGAAGTGACGCGGAAGTAAGTATTGTGATTATGCTCTTTTGATGTCGATGTCGGCTGGTTTGGACCATCACCACCTACATCGCACCGCACCACACGTGTGAGGGCCTCACGTACTTTCTAGCGTTGCCTTCGTGGATTGATTTCCGTAGATTACGTTGTGCTGCTGTCGGTGCGGTTGGGTTTTCACGGAGTGCAGGAAGTCATACCACTGCAACACGAGGCACTAAGGCACCTAAACCTGTCCATGGTGGGTGCTCTGGTTGGTGTACGACCGCAAGGCGCTCTTTTTTTTTTGTTTCGTCTCGGCGGCGAGATGGATCACACGAGGCGCGCTGCCCGCGAGGGATACACCGTTGTCGTCGCCCATGGAAGAAATGGAACGATGGTTCTAACCCCCTCCTCGGTGATAGATCCTGCGGAAACAATTCTCCGTCCTCTCGAGGACGCGTGGCCGACGGTCAAAACAACTACGGCATCCAAAACATGAGTAAGCCCCCCCTCCCCGCGTGCGCTCCTCACCCCCCACCCCCCCCCCCCCC